AATGTTGAAAACAGTTGAAACAGTGATACATTTTACTTTCTTTGATAAACAAAGTTCAAAAATATTTATTAGAGCTAGAAATCTTTCTAGCATTGTAGATGTCCTTACTGTCATTTTTTTGACCATAGTTTTAGTAATTTGTAATGTCAAATTTTCATTTCCATGTTATTTCCTGAAAAATAGTATGTGTCACACTTCACAAAATGTTGAATAATTTTCTCCTGATTAATTAGGTATGTATTTTGTGACAGGTTATGAAATCCATGGTTTAGAAAAGATTCCAGATGAAGGACCTGCTCTCATAGTCTACTATCATGGAGCTATTCCTATAGACTATTATTATTTCCTGGCAAGTGTTATCATTCAAAAGGGAAGAACTTGTCATTCGGTGGCTGATCATTTTCTGTTCAAGGTCCCAGGTAAAAACAAATTTCATACTGGTGAATTAAGTGATCAATCAACCTCATTTTTCCCATGACAGAGTCATTACCCAGTACCTAATTTCCTAGTGATTCACTGAATTTTGGGACAAAACATGTCCTATTAATTTATCTGCCATTAGTTTTTAAAATAGCAAAAAAAATTCACTTTGTTCTTAACACAGATGATTTAATTAACTTATAGAAAAACATAAATATGTGTCTTCAAGAAGCATTGATTAACTTCTGTCAGGGCATTGTCTACATTCTGAAAACCCTTTCCATATAATTACCTTCATTGAATTCAACAAGGTCACACACACTATATTGCCAAAAGTATTGGGACACCCCTTCTAATGGTCAGGTTTGACTACTTTAGTAACTTCCATGAGGACAAATTTTAATGTTAAAGCATATAATGATATTCTAGTGAATTGTGTGCTTCTTATTTTATAGCATCAGTTTGAACAGGACCCTTTTCTATTCTAACATGACAATGCCTCTGTGTATAAGGCAAAGTTCAAAAAGAAATGATGGATTCAGTCAGTGTGGAAGAACTTGACTGGTCTGCAGAAAGCAAAGTCCTAATCCCAGCTGAACACCTATGGTGTGACTTTAAATGCAGACCGTGAGCCAAAAACTCATCCCCAAACACCTTCATTAGAAGAGGGTGTCCCAATACTTTTGGCATTATTGTGTATTTATATACTTTTTAATTTACTTTCATTAATTGTGCTCATATTGTCTGTATAACAACCACGACAGGGTTTAAGCTCCTCTTGGAGGTGTTTAGTGTGATCCACGGGCCGCAGGAGGAGTGTGTGAAGGCCCTGCGCAACGGCCACCTCCTGGGCATCTCTCCTGGAGGAGTACGGGAGGCCCTGTTCAGCGATGAGACGTACCCTCTGTTCTGGGGCAAACGCAAAGGATTTGCACAAGTGGCCATTGACTCTAAAGTGGTGAGCAACTTTCCCTCTTATTCTGCTCTTTTCATACAAACCGCTTTTATTGTACTAAGAGTCTTGCACTTGTCCCTATAGCCAGTTATACCCATGTTTACTCAAAACCTGAGGGAGGGATTTCGCTCTCTTGGAACATTAAGTGAGTCACGAACAAAAGACTGAACATTCACACAGTTGTAAATGATAATCTAAATGTATTATGGAAGAGTTCGGTCTTAAATGAATCTCGAAATTCCTTCAGGGTTTTACCGCTGGGTGTATGAGAGGTTTCGCCTACCGATAGCACCCATTTATGGAGGATTTCCAGTCAAATTTCGCACCTACTTGGGTGACCCCATTCCATACGACCCCAAACTCAATGCAGCTGAGTTGGCTGAAAAGGTAGGACTCCATATTTTATAACTGTGTAGTCCTGTAAAGGTCTGACATTTGTTCATTTGCTGAGCTGGTGTTTTGCAAATTGGAGGGGGGGGAAAAAAAACCCTTCAAGAGGTTCTAACCTCTACACAGTCCCGACAAATCCTGACCTACTGTTGACTACACAACATACTCTAGCACCATTTGTTTACACCGTCCACTAAGGGAACGTTCCACCCAAGTGTGGTGATCACCATTCATCACACATGCAGGTGTACACAGTCTGCAAAGTGAGAGAATGCTTGTATAATAAAGGACACCCCGAATCGGGTTCTGTGAATGGTGTACAATGTTTTTACTTCAGTGTCACATGGCCTTTCAGAAATCATACTAATATGCTGATTTGATGCTCAAGTAGCATTTATTATTATTTCCAATGTTGAAAACTATATATGTGTATTAGCAATTCAAGCTAGAGTTAAAGCCATTGCTAAAAATCACAAACCCCAGGACATATTATTTTTAATAAACATGAGCCCCATCTTACATGTGCTTAATGAATAAAATTATAGCCCATGTGCAGAACACGGTGTCAGCAAATACAACTACTGCACTGCAAGTAGACAGTTAAGATGTCACATGTTCAGGTTTTGTCCTCATATTTAGTGCACTTTCTTCAACTGAACCCATCTGTTCAGGTGCAACAGGCAGTTCAAGCACTTATCGACAAACACCAGAAGATACCCGGAAACATCCTCCGAGCTCTTCTAGAGCGATTCCAAAGGGAACGCAAAGAAGATTAGCACACTTGCCTTCTCTCAGACTGAAAAAATAAATATGCTTCAAGCATATAATATTGTTACATCGTAAAATTAGCAACGTTACTGACTCTGTAATGGACATATCAGCATATGTCGCAATGTTGCATATCAAATAACGGTGCGTGTCTTTGTAACGTCTTTTTACGTGTAGTCTTGTGCATGTCGGAGAGTGTGTTTTTGTGAACTTTTTTTATTTTTTTGGTTTAAGTCTACAACTTATTTGCACACTTTGATTTTATTCAAAGGACCACTGCCAAAATAGTTTCCACAAAGCCTTTGGTTAGTTTTTTTTTTTTTAAATGTCCTTATAGCATTCTGTCCTGGAAATTGATTATATTTATCTATCTGAAGGAAAATTTTGTCATTTTGTAAGCACACTTAATGATAAGAGATACATGCTTGAATATTTGTTGTTTGATGTTGAATACTTACAGTTTTAGTCTAAAATCTCTGTATTAACTCTCAGAAATGAACGACTGTCTATTTAAGCAGCAGTTGATATTGGTTTGTCCCGCTCTCAGAGCTTATTATAAAATTCTGATTATAAAAAAACAAATAAGTATGCAACTGCTAATAGATTTTATTCAGGCGACAAAGCATACAGGTCTTTCAGAATTCATTAAAATTTTGTAACATTCCTGAAATGTGTTCATTACATCAAGGCTGTTCAAATCTAATAAGTAGTGGAAATAATGGCGGTAAATGTGTAATTCTTTTTATAAGAGATTTTATTATTCCCATTAAAACTGAATATTCCGATGGATTCAGTGTTGGTAAAACAGTTTTAATGCACTCTTGTGCTCAGTAAACCACTCTCCCATGATCCTTTGGGAGACAATATCTTGTGTGTGACAAAGATCAAATGTCAGCATGAGCGCGGTCTTCATCACCCTGTCCTGTGTTCTCTGTGCACATCCGGTGTGTTTAGTGTATGATATGCAAATGCACCAGTGTTGCTATTTATACATCTGTTTGGTATTACCTTACAGCATTTGTGCATCCATTGTAAATCCCCCCCAAAAAATCACTTGGAAAAATAAAAGTATTTTCTTGGAAGAAAATCTTTATTATTCATGATCTCTCCTTGCATTATACATGTGCTCCTAATTTTCTTTCAGCCTCTCCAGGAGTCTCTTCTTATTAAGGTGTAAAACCTTAAATCATAGGAGGTGTGAGAATACATATTCAGACAAACTAATCACCAAGCCTTGCATTTGTGATAGACTGATTCTGAAAAAGCAGATTTGCTCATCACCAGTGCTTTTTTTCCAACCTTGAAATAGTTACTGACATTCTAAGAATTCAAATGGACCTTAATCACACATTAACTGCGAATCCGAAAGAAGATTGCTCTAATAAAATGGCCACAGTGTACTTTATTAAATGAATTTGGTACTTTGTGTTGCATTAGAATCAAATAAAAATTTACAAAAATCCAATATGTACAAAAATGTAACGTACTTTTTGTTTTTACTCAATTTACAATAAAATCAGATAACAGATTTGATGCATTTTACGCACTTCAGACTTTCATCACACGATACAACTTACTTAAGGGACCAATAATAAACATTTTTTTGTTAGTTTTTTGCTTTTTTATGTCATTTATTACATCACATACACCACACTAGTTTTATCTGTATTATGTCATATGTAACTGCCGATCTCTAGTCAATAGACACCCTTCACAACCAGGACTCGGAGAGGAATGTTCTTTTACACATGTACATTTGCATACATTTATTTACAGTTAAATAGCCTTTTGCAAGTCACTATGGAACTTCGGTTGTAACTGAAATACCAGTAAAGTCTGTACATCATTTCTGAATGCTGAACTGAATGCCACCGAGTTCATTCAATTACTGTGCTTGTACTAATATCGTGCTTTATAAATAACCACCGGTTATCATTTATCTAAATGTAAATTTCTTTTTTTTTTTTTTTACCCCCATTTATGGCATTCTAGTAAGTATCTATGTCTCCGTGTGAGGGAGGATCAATTTGTTTATTCAACAAAAGAAAGCTTCTCCGATGAATAATAAAAAAGTGCCACATTTAATTTCAGCTAAGTTATTCAGTGTTTTCTAACTGATTCAAAATGCTCACAATCTTATAACAGTACGGCCTGTGACCCCTGACTATCTTGGTCGTCATTTTGATTGTTTGTCTGCATATGCAATTTCATTTCAGTCTGCTTTCTTCTGCTTGCAGTATAAGCCCTGTTGAAAAAAACAGCATATGGTGGTTAGGTATGTTTTGAAGCATGGCTGCTGGTTTGAGCTGGTTATTAGCTGGTTATGAGTTGGTTTAAGCTGGTCATGTGCTGGTCCTAAGCAACTAGTTCCTGCTCAGGACCAGCTTAGAACCAACACATGACCAGCTTAAACCAGCTCAAACCAGCAGCCATGCTTCAAAACATACCTAACTAGCATATGCTGGGGTTTTTTTCAACAGGGAGCACAGTAAGTACGCTAATCAATAATGCAACGTCATCACACTAGCATGACAGCAATCATGTGCATGACTAAAACTAAACCAAAAGAAACAAACAGAAAATGTCACTTACAGATAATGAATCCACAAAAAGGCGAGCATTGTTTAAGGCAAATAAAACAGAATCAGCTTGCATGAATTGAATGTTCTCCTGCTGTGAAAAGTTGTAAAATAAGTCCTGCTTTTGAACTCGGCTCTACTGATGTACCGGTAATAAACAGAGCAGCCTTCAACTCCTCGGCTCATCCACCGGGACTCCATCACAATAAATTCCTTCATGTCAGCCACATCAACAACTAGAGCTGGAGAGTGGTCTGTTTAAAATACCGCTTTGAGGTAGGTTACAGGTATGAAGTTTTTCCAGAGCGAAGAAATGGTTGACTATGATATCTCTAGGTTAATTGATAAAAACCCAGATAGAAAAATAGAACTAGAAGTGCAAAATAAAGATACATAGTTTAGCTGTAACGTTATGATTAGCTTAAATGTTAAGACGTAGGTCTACCTATGCACATAAACTGAGTGAATAGCTTTTACTTGATACGTGTTGGGCTAAATTCCAACCCCCTGCCAGATTATTGTTACAGTGAATATTAAAATCCACACTCTCTATTTTCTAAATACATGTTAAAGATCTTATTGTAAGCAATTCATCCACGACTGACTTCTCTCTTGTGACGTATGCAGGACTTCTCCAATCTTTTTGACTAATAGTATTATCATTAATAATGTGGAGAATATGCCATCAAAACAGGCTATTCCGCATCTCCAAACATCTACACAGCCTTTTGTGAAAAGGCCTTGATTCATTCTGCGTGTGCTGAATGCATCACTTTGTTGAGTGTTTTAAATTCATGTCATATTTCAACATTAAAAAAAATTATTGAGGCCTTGCACCTGATAAAGGAGAATGTCACCAAAACTCACAGACACAGCAAGTGTTGCCATTAGGATGCTCATCTTAATCAGATGAACCAAAACGCAGTGTGCTTGGGGTATCACTGAAACAAAAATATCATGGTATTTATGGAAAAGCTAAAAAAAACGTAGGATGCTTTTGAAAACGATGGATACGTAATATCGCAGAGGTGTGCGATACATCACTCGACTTCCTTCAAAAATGGTCTTGTGTAGGTGGTGCAGCAATTTAAATCTGAAAATTGCCTAATTAGTGTGCTAACACAAGTTTTTTGTGCTCTGACTACAGGGGACTCTTTTAGAAGGCTGTTTGGAAAATTTTGCCAAGAGACAAAGTATCATCATCATCCATCACACAGAGAAATTAAAGTATAAGACACATTGGGGGAAAAAATGCTGACAAGATAGGAAAGTAGCAAAATAGCTTAAATATACAGGTCTACGTAGATTCATACAATCTCATCTAAATAATTTTTTCTGTTCTATTTTCTTTTTTTATTTGCAACAATTTTATTTGCAAATGTGCAGATTGCTGCAGGCTAAAACAACTATGCTTTCAGTTTATTTGCCACCAATGGTAGGACGTTACAACACCTCAGGAGTGTTTCAAAGCTACAAATTACAGTTCAGATATGACCAACTGAAGCAAAACGAATCTAACCGTCCTAGATCAGTCATCTCCACACTGTCAAATGGCATTAAGCAAAATAATGTGCACCTTAAAATCAACCATTTTGTAAGACACGTTTAAAATCCATCAAAAACCAAAGAAGAAAAACAAAGAAAATAGAGTATTAAAAAGTTACACATAAAACATTTTTTCCCACACTTTCAAAATCGCAAACTATCCACAACAGGCACATCTAGCTTCTGTCGCAGTAAAATTTCACCTTGTCTCTCAACGTAAGTGTAAAGAAATCCTTTATTGTTCTGAGACTCCTTCCTGTGACATGTTTTGTGCTTGTTTTCTATTTATTTTTTATTTTTCCTCACCTCCACATCTCCTTCGGATATTCGACATAAAGACACAAAGAAGCACTTGCAACTGAACGGAAAGTTTAAAACTCCAACACTTTCATATATAAAGGATGCTTTTGGCTGATTTAAAGATACAGTGCTCTTTTAGGCAGATGTGATTTGTTGAACCATAGGGCCCGGAGCGTCATTCGGAGCACATTAGCTAGTCTGTACTCTGTGGCAGACTACTTATCCCTGACCATTTGATTTGTAGACCGTGAGTTGGCAATTGAAGAGCCTGATGGAGAAAGTCTTGATTACACTGCAGAGTTTGGAATAGTACACTTCGCCGGCTTTCCAGATGTGTTGAGAAGTGACCCCATTTATAGTCTATTTGTGCGCCTTTAACTTATTTTACTGTACCGATACAGACACACCAAAACTTGACCCAGCCTAGAAGAACACTGTATCTTTAACCTAGAAGATGACGCGCATCCAGGTTCTGTCGAGTACAGTTTGGCGGACACTGTATGAATTGTGATGGTCTTTGCCCCCCACTTTGCTGTGAACCAAACGGATCCTTGTCAGCCCACAGCGATGAGGTGAATGAGGTCGGATCGCCAAAGGGAGCTGCCAGGAAGTGTTTTCTTGGCCTATTGTCTTCTCTCGAAGACAAAAACGAGTGTGTGTTCTCCCTGTTTTGTTGTCCCAAGTGGCTTGGACTCTTGTGATGATCGCATACTTTCTTTTCTCGTCTTTTTTCTTTGTACAGGATTCAAGTAGATGGTTGAAATGCTGCCCTGTTTATATATACAATATGTGGTCGAGCCACAGTTCAGCGTGGAGTCAGTGTGAGTGGAGCGTTTGGCACTGGTACAGAACTGCTGATGAAACATTACTAATAGGTTACAGCACCCTAAACAAGGACGTGTCGAGTCTAATCAGCCATTTTTTTTTATTTGTGTACCATCAATGTGATATTTGGACCACTGTTTCTCCAGTGCGGTGGGTAGTCGGTTGGTTTGTCTGCACTGGATGCTTGGTTTCAAAGGGAAAGGCCTTTGTTTTGCATTTGCTGCAAGAGACAAACTATGAAGTGTTCTGGATGTCCTCTTGGAGACGTCGGCTCGAGGACGATCAACTCTGGGAATGAAGGTCTGTACAACACTGAGGAGGACCGAGGGGTTTGTGGTCTATATCAGCCAGTGCAATGACTTTTAGAAACCCAGATATTCCCTGACAAGACAGAAGTAATACAAAATAAAAAGCAACGAGAGAACGGCTTAAAAAAGATTGATTATTTAATTCATCCACAAATATGTTGTGCCTAGATTTGCTTGTCCATGACAATCAACATCATGACTAGATGCTTTGTATGCAAGGAACGTTATTGCCACAGTCCTGCTGTTTATTCAAGTGGAAAGTAAAGTGTTAATGTTTGTGTGTTTCCACAGCGCAGGCTACAAGGTGGTCTCATACTCCAGACGCTCTTGGACCAATGTGTCGTCTTTATATTGGAGGCGCGGCGGGGTCGGAGACGAGTCTATGGCCAGGATGGCTTTACGTAAACTCCTGTCTAGTACGTGCCTCTCCCAGGCAGGGTAGCGGTTCCTGCACAAGTCTATTTTGATGACTGTCTCCTCCAGGCGCGGGGCACGGGAGGAAGGTGTGGAGGGTGCGGTGGGCCGCACCTGAAAGACGGGTACGCAACCGTCCCTCTCGCTGTACTTGGCCTCGCGATCAGCGTCCCTGGCTAGCGTACCTCCGCGGTTGGAGCGCAGGGAGTTGGTGGCGCCCTCGGGGGGCAGCGTGAAGGTAGCGGTGGGGTCCTCGAGCTGGACCAGGCTGGCCGAACGACCAAAGCGCGGCCCGTTGGGATGGAAGAAAGCGTAGTACATGAGCATGAAGACGATGCCAGTGAAGAAGCTGGAAAAGATGACGCACAGAGCGGGCACGGCGAAGGCGTCTGTGCTGGGCGGTGAGCGGTACAGGTACCACAACGCGCTCAGGGCCGTGTTCTCTAGCAGGATCATGAAGTAGTAGATGAAGAGACGGCAGCGGGTGTGTCCCTCCTTCACGTTGAACCAACTGAAGATGTAGATGATTCCCACTACCATGTCAAAGACGATCTCCTCCCACTTGGTGATACAGAATTCGGTCTCGCAGTGTACGATCCAGAAGGTCATGATGCACCAGTGCAGCACGATGAAGATGCCGAAGTAGAGCTGGAACACGGAGGCAAAGAGAGCGAAGGTCACTACACGAGCGGCGATGGTGAAGAAGTGCCAGCAGAATTGGATGATGACGGCAAGGTAGCTGATGGGCTTCTTGTCATCGCGGGAATCACGCAAGGCTTTCTGGTAGGAGGCCAGAGCCCAGGCCAGAGACACCAGAGAAGCAGCCGCTGTCATCCCTGAAATAAAAGGAGAGAAGTGTTGGTTATGGCTGGACATTATAATCCTAAGTATCCCTGTTAATCAACCCAAGAAATATGAGCACATAGAAAACTACACAAAGTATTTATGTGCAGTATGTAAAGAAAATTTGGAAATATTTAGTGATTTCTTTAACCGACACGTGCCAGCTCCTATAATTCAAGTTATGAAAAAAATATCCCTGTATCGTTTGTTTGTGCGATCGTGAATGTTATATTAACAAACAAACCTAACTTTATCCAGCAGTTCAAAAAAAATTTTTTTATTAAAAGTTATTATTGAGTTACATTTTAGACATATATTATACAGTATATATATATATTTCTGTTTCACCAACGAAAATAGTTTGAAACAATGCCAGAGTAGAACATTTGTGCTTTGTTCCTGAATTAATGTTTTCGAACAAATCATTTGAGTCAATAGTTCAAAAATCCATTCATAAAGACAGCCACTTTCTTCGTTTCTACACTCTAAAAAATGCTGGGTTAAATACAATCCAGCGCTGGGTAAAATAGGGACAAACCCAGAAATTGGGTTGTTTTGACCCAGCGGTTGGGTTAAATGTTTAAATGTTTAACCCAACCTTCTGGGTAGTAACCCAACCGCTGGGACAAAACAACCCAATTGCTGGGTTTGTCCCTATTTTACCCAGCACTGGGTTGTGTTTAACCCAGCATTTTTTTAAATGTAAATTAATCAGCCATTTTGAACAAATTGTTTGAATGAATGATTCAATGAATCATCCATTAATCACTTTATTGTCATATTTATCTGTGGCAGGCCTAAACCAGCCAAGATACCAGCATAAAAACACACTAAGCAAAATATGGTTTAATTATCATTATCGAAAAAAATCACAAAAAAGTATTGAGATATAATTTTTCATCAAATTTGCACATTTCATTCTTACCATGTCTTTTTTGAATTTTTTTATGGATAGATTTTTACTCTTACCACAGACTCAGATTTTTTTAGGTTCTCAAAAATCCATTATAAAAATGCATATATACTGTATATATATATATATAAATATAATGTCGTTTCCATCACAACCAACGTTTTATCAAATGTTAGTGTGTTTACCAAGGAGAAAGAAACCAAGTCATTGAACAGCTTGAAATTAAACATGAAATGTGGTGTGTAAACCAAAGAAAAATATAAATGTAAATATCACTTGTAAGCAGAATATTTTTGCAATTTTGAACGTTCCTAAAAGAAACAGTGCTCTGCAGTGCATTTCATGTTAACCAGCTATAAATGTAGCTTGACATGTGAAGCACTTCTTGCCCAGATACAATAGGATGCTGGTTTCCGACGCAGAATAGGAAGTGCTCACCAAGGCATGCAAATGCATTTATCTCGTTATTACATCTTTATATATTCATGACTCTGGAGAATACAGTCGGAAGTGGGCTAATGGAGTAGCTTGACCGTGGAAGTGTCCGTCAATGGCTCGTGCTCCTGTGTGTATCACATGCAGCCCTCCTGTGATGAATGTGTTTGCGATTTCATATCTAGACCCTCTGGTGAATCACACCACACCAAGGTTTACAAGCTCTGGCCCTAATCAAAGCTGGTAAACGGTGACTCCAGAGACGTGGTTCATTTTGATGAGACTTGTTTTATTTCCTCTTCAGGGAAAACAGCCTCTGTGGAATTTTGCTTAACTGCACCTTTCCACATTTATGACTCACTGGCCCATGAGTGAGATGTTATCCATCATGTTGTCCAAAAAACTCACTTGTGCTTAATGGAGGAGGCTTTACAAGCAATCTGCATCAGATGGAGTACAGTAAAGCAGCCAGCAGTGAATACAGGTGCGTGAAGCCCATCTTTCTCGTGGAGCTGACAGCCACTGTTATGTGCTCAAGCTGCTGGAGTGATCAGTTTTTTGTGAGTGAGTGAGACAGAATACAAAGATTACACACACTGTCCAGTTTATCCTCAATATCAAGTTTAATGCTGATACTGAGATAAAAGATGAATATAGTAACACTGTCTAGACAAGTTCAGCAGCACCAAAAAGAGGATAGTTCACCCAAAATGAAAAATTCCATCATCATTTACTCACCCATATGTTGTTCTAAACTTTTCTGAAATTCTTCTGTGGAACACAATAGATGTTTTGAACATACAAGGAAATGTTTGGACCCCATTAATGTGTTCTGTGTTCTGAAGAAGAAATAAAGTCATACAAATTTGGAAGGACATGAGGGTGAATTAACATTATTGAGTGAACTATCCCTGTAACATAATTTTTTTGTGAAACATTTTACTTGAAAAATAAAATAAATTTACCTTTCAAATAAATGGAACTTGGTTGGATATTCTGTTATATAATGCAAAGATATGGTTTAAATATGCAAATACGTTTTAGGGGGATTGTACTTTGCCTGTTTTACCATAATTGTGATGATCTTCATCAAATACACTATACACTGTTTAAAAGTAAGATTTTTCTTTTTTTTTAATTTTTACTTATATTTAGCAAGGACACATTTATAATGTTGCAACAGATTTCTATATCGAATAAATGCTGTTCATTTAAAATATTCATCAAAGAATCTTGATAATAAGACTGATAACAAGAGGAAATGTTTTTGTCACCAAATTAGCATATTAGAATGATTTCTGAAGGATCATGTGACACTGAAAATTCAGCTTTAGCATCACAGGAATAAATGTTACATACATTCAAATATAGAAAGCAGTTGTTTTAAATTATAGTAATATTTCTGTTTTTAATGTATTTTTAATCAAACAAATGCAGCCTTGGTGAGCATAATTTTTCAAAAACAAAAAATACACCAAATAAAAAGGTTTAATCTTGAAAATAACACATACAAGTTTATGCAAGGAGGACTAAACATGTCAACATAAATTTAGAAAAATACTTGTATGCAGGTGAACCTAGTCAAATTTTTTTATGTTTCTTAATTTATGATGAATTAAAATGTTTAGCAGTCCTAAAGTATTGTGTTGTCTTTCATCTGTAGTTCCAGACAGGCAGCATATGGATCTCTCGTATATTAAACCTGAAACGTCTCTTTCTTTTGTCAGAAAAAAGACTAATAAATCTAACATTCTCACTGCACTGAACTGTTCCTGAGATAACAAGACAGACTTTGAATTCATTAGTTCCCTCATTAATTGTGTAAATATTCTCGCCTTTACCTCTCAGTTTGACATTCATACCCAAATCATATCAAGACAATACAATACACAGTTTTCAGAATAATGTCCTTTTTATCGCCCTTCTGTATAATGCTGTAGTGCAAGCAGAGGAGAGGTTGAGATAACAGGAAGCTTCAGTGCCAATCAGTTCCTTTCAGACGGCATCAGTAAAAACGCAGAATCTCACGTTCCTAAGATAACACCATGGCCATGAATAATAGAACGAGTCCTCGTGTGAAATGATGAATGTGCAAAGATGTGTTAATTTGTGTCCAAATAAAGGTGAGTATTATTTTCATTTCACAGAGGCTGCAAGCTCACCGTTCATCAAAAGCTGTGACAGACAGATTTGCCATGTCTCTGCAATCTGTTTTCAGATGAGCTGTGCATTATGGACACTCTACACAAAACAAAGCAGACGATCAATGGTAAAGATATACATTGATTGCATTGCATAAGATAGCACATTCATAACAGAGAATGTGCACCCTGGGCATCTATTTTTATTAGTCTGAAGAGCGATTAAAAGCTCAGAATCTTATCAGTGGAATTGACTGTGTGATGTTGACACTCCCGGAGCGACACATCCTCTGTGGAGGACTGCGAGTGTGGAGGGGTAGTCAACAGTCTTTACAACAGTAAACACACACCAATTAGCAGACTTACATCTGAATTACATTAAAGAATGTAAAGAATTACATTAAAATATTCTCTTCAAATTTGTGGCTCAAAGGCAGATTCTATCTATCTATCTATCTATCTATCTATCTATCTATCTATCTATCTATCTATCTATCTATCTATCTATCTAGTGTTTGTTTATACTGTGAGTTTTTTTCAATAGCTTATTTATGTGTTTAACCCACTTAGATTAAATCTGGCCCATTAGTAGCTGGAGAGAGCTGAGGGGGTGTAATGACTACTTTGCAAAGTAGGGTAATTAACTGACAGAGGCCAGGCTATAATTCTTATTCTGTGGGCTATCTGGCCTGCGGCATGGCTCCGATGCTCTCTACGACAGTGAAGGTGCATGTATTACTCCCTCCCTCTCTCATATCCTGCGCACGTGCAGCGCATCCAGAGGAGACGGTCGCCACGGGAACCTGCCACGGTCCAGCGTGCGAGGCTGTGAGAGCGGCAGCAGTGACGTAATGCTCCTTGCTGCTCCTGCTCAAGAGGGCTGCAGTAATTTGGAGAGAGGAGGAGGGTATAGACAGTGTGTGTGTGTGTGTGTGTGTGTGTGTGTGTGCGTGTGTGTTGTGTTGTGTGTTGTAGGGTGTAGTAGCAGCAGGGTTATGCAAACCCCAGCATCACTGCAGTATCTTCTTCATCTACTTCTACAGGCCCCTCAAATCCATTCACATTAAGGGAATAGTTTACCAAAAAAAGGAAAATTATGTTATAATTTTTCAATATTTGCTCACCCTCTTGTCATTCCAAAAATTCCATGTTGATATTTTATCTGTTTACACAAGAAAAGGATAGTAATGAAATCTATTGTATGGCTTTAAAAAAAATCTCAAATATAGTGTATGTTTTATGGGCTAATTGCTTTTATAGTGTTTTTTCGTCCTTTTTAGGGCATGTATCTGTATGGAAAAGAGCTGCATGAAGATTCTTCAAAACTTTTGCAAGAAAATCATTTACTTTTCACTCTAACTTATTATATTAAATGCAATATTTGTATTTAATCTTTCTCATTGTAAATCTATTGAAATTACAGTTTCTGTTGGCACATTTAAATGTTTTAAATACCATGACATGCGGCTGGCTGATTTGACAAAAATTGTACAATTGTACCTGA